AGTCTCCATACTACAATACATAGACCACTGCCAGCCAGCCACTATATTTTCATAGGAAGTTGCTGTGGGGCAGATAAAATCTTGTAGTGGGTTTGATGTGGTCCGTGGGCCATAGTTTGGAGATCTCCTGGAATAGAGTATTTGAAAATTAGAATCCCCCTTCATATTTTTATTGTTGTCCATGTCCTCCTGGGGAGATTCACTCTCTCTACGTGTCCTGGTAAAAATTGTCACCTGCACAAAAAATTATGCAAAATCCAAATTTTGAATTGTCACCAGTGCAAGAGTAGAGGGGACATTTTCCAGTGTGAGGATGACTGTTCTAGGAAAGGATTTGGCTGATGCCTCTGAGTCCTGTAAATGAAGCAAGAGAGAGCAGCTCTGGAATAAGTGCTCATCATGAAAGGTTTTTTACCTTATTGCAGAGAATGTATAAAAGTAAAAAAAACTTTTGACTTGATAACAACTTTAAACCATAACTCCAATCTCAGCTCCACCTAGACCCCTCCAGGGGTACTTTCTGTTTTTATAAACATTTTTTGGGTCTGTGTATATATACATTCCCAATCTTGCTCAATAGGTTGTATCCCCAATTCTGTTTCCCACTGTCTGCACATAGGATTAGAGTTTGCAGTGAGTTTTATATACTGTATACTTACCTTCTGTCGAAGTCTTCAGGTTGGTCATAGGAAGAGCCAGGTTCTCTTCCTCTTTGCCTCTTCTTCCTTCTCCTGGTGGCCAGTCATTGATGATGCAGAGAGCAGCATCATTACTTTGTGAGCACAGCAAGCTGTGGTACCACCAACTCAGGATGAGGGCTTATGACCCTTGCACTCAAAGGATGTCTTCAGTCTTCTGTGTTGAGATTGTATGCTATTGAACTTGCAAGTCTAAGGACATCTTGTGGCCAAGAAGAAGTATTGTGTATGGGAAGCTCTGGAATTGAGTATTGCAGTAAGGGGCTGCTTTTTGTCTTTTGTCTAGCTGGGTACCATTAAAAAGAAGATCCTGGAGGTGGGCGGTATTCTGACACGGCGGCGGTGGAAAAATACCGGACCGGCCGCTTTTACATTCGCTCCATAAGACACACTAACATTTCCCCCCCTTTTTTGGGGGGAAAAAAGTGCGTCTTATGGAGCGAAAAATACGGTAAATGTTCTGGAGTGCCATTCTGCGGTTTAGCCACAAGATGCCACTGTTTTCCTAACACAGCCTCAGACTGCGTAGATATTTCTATATTCATGAAGAGGTGGAGTTTTGCACACAGAGTTTAGAAAACAGGAAGGAGAGAGACAGCAGCCTTGTTTTGGAGGATGGTGAATGCAGGAGCCGTGTGAGCAGAGAATCTGATGGCATCCAGGTGTGAGAACATCCCTCAGTAACCAGAGCTGCAGCTAAGTGAAGCTGATCATGTCCAAGACCCTGATCCTGTTCAGAGAAAGGAAGATTGCTGCCAGGAATGCTGATGAGAGCAGAGGAACAAAGCAACATACACTGCGATACCGCATGCTTGTTGGAGAGACATTTGTTCTGTTCAGAGTCACCAGCGGATGCAAAGCAGACCCGGGTCCGTAAGATCATGCACGCACCTCATTTCAGTGTTGGCGCCTAGAGACTGAGTCCAGACCTATAGTTAGTTAGTTAGGGTCTCTGTTTATGTCAGGCCACAAGTGTTATTACTGATCATTGGAAGGACTCCATAATTTAAAGTGACATTTCACATTGGAGAGCTGATAAGATCCCACAAACTCAAGCCAGACTGGCGTTTTGCTCAGAAGGAATACTCAGGCACGTGCTACAGGACCAGTTATGGGAGGGGGAATACTGTAGATTTGTGTAAGATTGTAAGCTGTTGTGCTGCACCGCAGGCTAGCCCATACCATACACCCATATACTGATTCCTGCTCTTTTAGGGTAATAACAGGTAAGGTGTGGCAGCTTAGTTGTGCCCGCCAGTAGGTAAATTACTACACCTTCTACCTTCATCCATCAGGAGGCGCCGTGCTGTGCAGTACAAGGGTCTCAGCCTTTGGGCTGGGTGGATGTAAATTTATTGTATGTTCCCAGCATTTGTGGTTTGTGTTTATTTGCCACATCTAAGTAAAATTCTGTTGTGGCAAAAGCTGGTGTTGGGGTTGCTTTCCTCGTTTGTGACTTCACTGTATCCTGGGGAGCCCACCCCGCTACACGGCTTACACTGTCAACACTTCAAACCATTTTTAAGTGTGAACCTACTTTTCCTTGTTGGTCAACTAAGTCTTGGGGACAAGAAAGTTTCCAAAGAGAGATTTCCTCTTGTATTTGCAAGATCCCATTGGGTGGAGACACTATAAAGCTATGAACATCAGCTGTAAGTGAAGGTTTGATGCTCAAGATCTATGTTAACCAGGTGCTACAGGATGGGAATTTAATAACTGCATGATGAGGGTCATTTCAAATGACCCCCCTCCCCCAAAACAGAGTTGTAAATGTGCATTGGATCATGAAGTAAGATCTCTTGAACAAGCAAAGCCTATGCTCATGGAATTTATTATCCTATTGTGATGTGCACAAACATGTCTGAACAGGCTATAGCGAATATCTGAAACATTTATTAACAAGGATGGCTTCCATAGAATGTATGTTCCAGCATCTGAAATTACATCAGTTAAGCTGATGAGTGCTGAAATAAAAAGTGACTTTCATCAATGTTTTTTTTTACTGCTGTTACCATCTTTAGATGGGCATATCAAAAAAAGCATGAAACAAATGCCCATTCATTTGTTGACTTTTTCATAACACAGTGTAAAGTATGGAGCTATTTCATACACCTTTTAGGCTGGCTCATGCAAGTTTCATTGCTGATTAAATTAGTTTCTTTTCTGTGTACTTTCTGAGGTGCGCCTTATGGAAAAAGGAGACAGTAAAACAGCATTATTTGGATGTTTAACACACATGGTAAACTAGGACTTTACTTTGAACTTTGAACAACAGTGTATATTCAGCTATTTAGCTTCATGGATTGCAAGAACTTCTGGTCTACTAGACAGATCCTGAGGTTCCCTTTAACATCCACCACTACAGGTCATGCAAGAGTAGAGCAAAAAATGATTGCATTGCTATATGGGAGCTCAGTCCTGCTTATCTGTGACATGCTGAGGATGAGTTGTTAAAAAACAAGAACACAAGTCAAAATTTCAGTTCGCGTACCCAGCAGTTAGAAGGGTGAAACATATTATTTTCTTTTCAGTTCAAGCTTTCACTTAAATATACTTCTCAATAGTCACAAAGCATATGTAGCGTTACCCTCGTGAGGGCTGCTGTGGTGTAGGTATCCCTAAGCTTCCCTCCGCACACCCAGGCAACTGGTATTTTCACACAGACTTGCATCCAGAGACAGATTCCATGAACTTGGTTTTGTTGTTTTATTAGAGGAATTCAACTTGGATAGGGAAACATGGATTATGGGATGCCCAACTTGAATTGAAATACTGGAAGGGGGACACTTCCTTCCTATGCACAAAGCAGATCCGGGACTGTTCTTTTTCTGAAAGCCATCAGTCGTTGTGGACCAGTAGCAGCTGCCCCTTACAGGTGAGGAACTAGCAGCCCCTCAGAAATCATGTAGAAACTACATACAGAGATGCCTTCTCTACCCCTACGAAGCTGCTCTCAGCTCCTTGGCCTACAGAAACTACTAGCCCTCCTGGCTTCACAGAAGATCTCTCGGATCAAGGATAAAAGGAGTTAGGGTAATACTGTCCTTGGAAAGCTTGCTACATTTAGCAGTCTTTCCCCTTGTAGACCCCAAAGTGTGCTGCTGTGCTCACACTGTCCTCTTCGCCCCCTGCTGCTCCAGGCCTGATCCCATCCGCACCTCTGAATGTATCCTACTGAGCAAGCCTGAGCCCAGCCTAGAGGCTGACCCCCCCCCAGACCCAGAGGACTTCACAATGCTCCACCTTCCACCCGACTCCTCTATCAGCCTGACTCTCCCATACTTGTAGGCCAATCTACCACTCTACCAGGACCTCCAAACCTGGGGTTGGCCAGACCCCCATGAATATGCAGATTAGGCCTCCACCCCTCCTTCTTACTGACCTCTGGAAGTTTTTATGGTCCTTTCAGAGTCAGGAGTGAGGCGATAGAGCCACAACCTGTAGAGTTATCCAGCTGACCTGCAATAACCCAACCATAGTCACATGACCCACACAACTACCATGAGTCACATAACTATTTTACCTATAATCCACTATGCTATTCTAGTAGCACACTAGAGGATGCTACACATATATATACTTTGTGTTCATCAATGCATTTGCAAACCAGATATTGCATTAGAAAAGTAGTGGTGACCTCATCAATATGTTGTACATAGCCTGTGCAGGGGGCAGAGCTGTGGGAGGGACACAGTAGACTCCACCCACTACAGGCTGCCTGCAAAAAGCTACAGGAGGGGGCGGAGACAAGACCAGTCACAAGGAGAGAAAGCAGCAGTGACTGGTCTTTATTACAAGAATCTCCTGCTCAGAGGGAAGGTTTCACACAGATATGGAAGAAATACACAAAGTACACCAAGCTTCCAGATAGAACACACCTAACTCCTGTATTTAGATCATATTTGGATAGCCTGGATTTCAGCTTCAAAGTGATATTAAACCCTCAGTTTTTTAAAACACTTTCAGCAGCTGATTTAAAGTTTTACTAAACCCACAACAGTAAAATCAGTCTGTATATGCAGTAAAGCATGCTTGTTATACTCACTGTGGAACCTAAGGGGTTAATCCTCCACATTGTGTAAAAAGTCAATTTGATCCTGTTTTTACTGCCTTCCTCTTGTTCAAAGGTCCTCGTCTTATCTTCTGATAAGACTGACTGAACCGTAGACATTCTGCACATGCTCAGTTTAGTGTGACAGAGATCAGGGGTTCTGCATCCTCCTAGAGCAGAAAGAAAACTCCTCCTACAAGCTTTAACATGTGCTCTACTGAACACTGATAGAAGTCAAAAGACTGCTATATATTGCTGATGAGAGAAGGTATTTAGCAGTTTATATTTACTAAAATAATTGCATTTCCATGTTCTGTGTACTGTGGGAGACCAGATATAGTGAATGCAGGGTCCGGGGTTCAGTAACACTTAATCACTTTCTGTGTAAGCAGCTTCTTTGTACTTTAATCCTTGCCTGTTTAAGCTGGTGCCATGACTACTGCCCCAGGTTTCTTGTTTCAGAGTGGATCCTTTCTCTTGCAGCTCTCATGCAACCACCCTTGCATGCAGGGACTAGAGTTGTGTCTCCCTATACTGTGTACATCAATAGAAACACATGACCCCCATGGCCTAGAGAAGTAAGGTACTCCCCTGCTACTCCTCCCCCATCTTTTCAATGTAAATAGACTGGCTGGAGACTGCACTGTCCACTGTCAATATCCCTGTGAAGACCAAACGTTTAAAAAAGCAGCACTGAGAGAGCAGGAGCAAGCAGCACTGAAAGTTGTAAAATGAAAGTGCTGGGGTAGGAATTTTAACAAATAATTTACAGGGGATGATTTTATTGTGCTCAATGTGGTAAACAAAAAACACAGAGGATGTAACACAACTATTTATATTATGTGGCTCATACAGAGCTAGATCTAGCCTGTTTGATGTTGGGGTGCAGTAAAAATGTCAGGGGCGCAGAGTATGGGAGGTCCGCAGGGTATTGTACAGGGGGTCAGCACAGTAGAGGACAGTGTTCTGTTAGTCGATCCTGCTCAGATGCTCACACACTGTAGTTAGTAGGAGACATTTTATTAGGTGCTCCTAGCTGCCATTAAACATGTGTCTGCCTAGAACTACAACCAAAGAGAGGCAATAACACAGTTGTACCAGTATCTAAGTAGTGAGACCCCTAGAGGCCATACACAGCATATAACATATTGCTACATCCTTTCTCTTTTAAATAAAAGAACAATGAAATATAACAAACACAAAATGGTGAAGTAGAACATAGCTATTAGTTAACTATAATCCTTGAGGTGAGCCGGCTTTCTGATTGTTCTGCCAGCTCGCGTAACATATGAGGTTTCTTCACAGAAATCTTGGTGTTCTTCTGATTCTGGCAGTCTATTTTCTGGGACTGTCTCTCTCTGCCTAGAGACCTCCCTATGCTCCTCAGCAGTCCCTGTTTCTTTGTTGCTGGTATTCCTAGTCTCATCGCTTTGAGTGTCCATATACTGTTCCCAGGGCCCTGTATCATCTCCTTCTTGTGTTTTTCTCAGATGTCTCCAATTTCTCCTCCATCTTCTTCCTTCCTCTGTTATAATTTCATAGGACCGTGGTCCCAATTTCTGTACAACCTTCGCTTTTTTCCAGTGTTTGTCATATTTGCCTATTGGCTGAATCCGTACATTTTCATTGCTCTGGAGAACAGGCAGATCTTTTGCAGATTTATTATAATAGAAAGCTTGCCTATCTTGATTCTTCGTTAGTTTGGCTTTAACATTGCCCACAAGCTTTGGCTTTAGTAGTTGACCTGCAGTTGGTAAGAGAGTCCTTGTACGTCTACTCATAAGCCGCTGTGCTGGACTGGTGTCTAGGCCTTGTGTGGGTGTGTTTCTGTGATCCAGTATAGACAGGTATATCTCTGTACCTGCTTGTTTTGACTTTTGCATGAGTCTTTTGGCTGTTTTTTTACTGCTGACTCCGCTTTACCATTACTCTGTGGATATCCAGGAGATGATGTCTGGTGCTCAAATTCCCACCTCTCCCTGAATTTTTTGAATTCTTCCGATGTAAATTGAGCGGCGTTGTCAGAGAACACAATATCCGGAATGCCATATCTGGCAAAATGGGCCTTGAGTTTTTTAATTACTGTTTTGGCCCTTGTGTCCTGTAAGTAGTCTATCTCTCAGAAGTTGGAAAAATAGTCCACAGTTACCAGATATTCCTTGTCGTTCCACGTGAACAGATCTGTTCCCACTTTTGACCATGGTCTGTTTGGAATTGGATGTGGTTGCAATGTCTCTTTCGGTTGCTTATCATTGCACGATGCACATATTTCACACTGTGCTATTTTTTATGTGGTCATTCATTCCAGGCCAATAAACATATTCTCGTGCACGACGTAGACATCCTTCTACACCTAAGTGAGTCGAGTGCAATCTTTCTATAATGTCTCTTCTAAGGGATTGTGGTATGACAGCCCTTTCTCCTTTTAAAGATGATTCCATGCTGCACAGAGAGTTCATCTCTTATATGAAAAAATGGAGAAACCTCCATTGGAGCATGCTGCTTGTGTTTTGGCCATCCCTTCAAGATGACAGTCTTTAGGATCTGTAGAGTTTTATCTTCTATTGTTGGCATTGGATAGTGATTTCTTTTCAGGGCCTTGTTCAGTGGCTTAGGATCAATGCATATTCTTAACTTGCCTGATGGTTTTTTCACTACCACCAAACTGCTTATCCAGTCTGTGCTTTCCTGTACTGGTGCTATCATACCTCTGCTGTGCAAATCCTGCAGTTCCTCTTTAAGTGGTTGCATTAAGGCTACAGGTACTCTTCTTGTAGGCAGTCTGGTAGGCTGTATTGTATGATCAATTTCTAGTTTGTATTTACCTTCCAGGCACCTATCACCTTCAAATAAATCAGCATACTCTGTTTTTATGTGGTGAAAATCCAAAATGTATTCTGCCTTTTGTTTAGGATTTTGAGTATTCTCAGAAACTTCCAGAGCCATGATGTTATGGGACTGCACCTTTATTAAGTCCATAGCCTGAACTGCTTTAACTCCCAGCAAAGGAATGTGATCGTCCTCCTGCAACACAGTAAACTCCACTCTGTAGCTCTTTCTGTTACGTGGATTTCTTAATTTTAGCTTGCATGTTCCCATGGGTTTCAGAACACTTTTGTTGTACATGACCAGTACCTTATCAGTGGGCTCAATGGGAACCTGTTTGTTAAGCAGAGTAAATGGAATGACATTGCAGCTTGCTCCACAATCCAGCTGAAATCTTATGGGCTGTTCATCCACCATAAATATGGCAAAGAGCTGCTTTGCATCATTGGCTACCTGCTGTTTGACTACATTGACTTTCTCTGTTGCAGACTGCAGCTGCAGCCATATGATGCCCTCTGTGCTGTCCTCGTCTGTGTCCTGGGTCACTGTGTGGACTTGTCTGTACTGTTTGCTGGTTTTGAATCTGCACACAGCTGAAAAGTGGTTCATCTTGCCACAAGTCCTGCAGGACTCCCCATACGCTGGACATTTCTCTTTGTCTCTTTCATGTCTTTTGCCACAGTATTTACACTGGACTGAGCTCATAGGGAGCCTGGACCTTGCTCTGCCTTTCACAGATACTCCATGTACTGAGGCATCACTGGTGCCCTCCATCATCTTCAGCCTGTCCTTAGTCAGCTCAGCAGCCCTGCAGATTTGTATACATTTCTCCAAAGCCAGCTCTTCCTCCCTCAGTAATCTTTCTCTGAGGTGAGAGTCTCTGATGCCACACACTATCCTGTCTCGGATAAGGGAGTCCCTGATGTCCCCAAATCCACAGGTTGCATCCAGTCTCCTCAGCTCTGTCACATATCTGTCCACACTGTCCCCAATCTCCTGATTCCTTGAGAAGAACTTGTATCTCTCCACCGTCTCATTCTTTTTGGGGTCACAGTGCTTATCAAATGCTTGCAGTATGTCTGTCAGTGTCATGCTGTCTGTGAGCAGGGTCTCGGCTAGTTCTCTGCCTTTTTCCCCAATCAAGTAATAAAACCGCTTTACTTCCCTCTTCTCATCTCTGGGTGCCACTGTCAGGTCCACATACAGAGTAAACTCTTCCTTCCAGTGTCTCCATGTCTGTGTGAGATTGGAAGAAGTGACATCCAGTCTCTGAGGGGGTTTCAGGCCACTCTCCATAGTGCAGTCTGATAGGGACTCTGTACTTACAGTTGCTGATTCTCTGTACAGTTCTAGTGTCACACAATCTGTATTTGTAGACAGAAGACTTGCTATTCAGAGGTCCAGTGCCCAGCTGCCACCATGTTCTGTTAGTCGATCCTGCTCAGATGCTCACACAGTGTAGTTAGTAGGAGACATTTTATTAGGTGCTCCTAGCTGCCATTATACATGTGTCTGCTTTCAGAACTACAACCAAAGAGAGGCAATAACACAGTTGTACCAGTATCTAAGTAGTGAGACCCCTAGAGGCCATACACAGCATATAACATATTGCTACAGACAGGGTCAGTAGTTTGTAGGGCAGTGTATCGGGGTCAGCACAGTAGAGGACAGGGTCAGTAGTTTGTAGGGCAGTGTACCGGGGGGTCAGCACAGTAGAGGACAGGGTCAGTAGTTTGTAGGGCAGTGTACAGGGGGTCAGCAGGACAGAGGACAGTTGATCAGAGAGAGCACCTATGGAGAAGCATAGGACAGGATCAGTTGTAGAGAAGCAGAGAACAGGGGGATCAGGAGTGGAGAGGCAGATGAAAGGGGGTCACCAGTAGAGAAGCAGAGGACAGAAGGATCACCTGTGGAGAGCCAGAGGACAGGAGGATCACCTGTGGAGAGGCAGAGGACAGGGGGATCAGCTGTGGAGAGGCAGAGGACAGAAGGATCACCTGTGGAGAGGCAAAGGACAGGGGGATCACCTGTGGAGAGGCAGAGGACAGGGGGATCAGCTGTAGAAAAGCAGAGGACAGGGGATCATTAGTGGGGAGGCAGAGGACAGGGGATCACCTGTGGAGAAGCATAGGACAGGGGGATCACCTATGGAGAATCAGAAAACAAGGGGATCACCTGTGGAGAAGCAGAGGACAGGGGGATCACAGGTGGAGAGGCAGTGGACAGGGGAATCACCTGTGGAGAGGCAGAGGAAAGGGTAATCATTTGTGGAGAAGCAGAGGACAGGGGGATCTCCTATGGAGAAGCAGATGTCAAGGGGATAACCTATGGAGAATCAGAGGACAGGGGGATCACCTGTGGAGAAGCAGAGGACAGGGGGATCACCTGTGGAGAAGCAGAGGACAGATGGATCACCAGGGTGTCAATACCTTTAACTTCATTATAGGCATTTGTGTAGCAGTTTTAACGTTTAGAAAACGCCTATGAAATGCCTCAAAAACGCACAGTGGGCTTTTGGGGAGCGTTTTGAGGAGCA